AAGCTCTTCTCTGAAACGTCGGCATGCTTTCTTTGTATGTGTCTCGCCAAATTTGCTGTATGTTTGCCTTTAATTTTAAATTTGCAATGTATTAACTCATTTTTATAATACTTTTTGTCAAAATAAAAGCTTTTGCGTACTGGATTCACACAAATTTCAAAAATATTTACAAAAAAAAAATCACTTTAAAAGTATGCCAACCTTCTGAGAACACAAACGCGATTATTTGAAATTACAGTGAAAAATTAATTCTCATAGCGTTACATTGAATCAAATTTGTGGCAGTTTATTATAAGAATTTCATTTTTAAGCACGTCGTGTATTATTTAACTTAAAAATGCTTATTGGGGATTTTCATTTTGAACCTGACCAACCATTTTTTTGAGTCGTTTCTGGTGCAGTTTTAGCATTTTAAAATAAAAGTGGTTGGTTCGTGGTTCGGTTCAAGGCCAGTAAAAAGAGACCGGTTTACAGTCCTGATTTTAATAGCAGCGGAAACACATGTACACAGAAATTTGGCAAATTTAGCTATTTACTTTAATTTGACATTACGAAGTGAGCGAGAACTTTTAGTTTGTTGATAAAAATTACATAACTTAAGATTAGTATACGCGCGTTTTATCAACGCAATGTTTGCTAAATTTTACTCAAGTAAAACAATACTCAATACTCTCGTATTTTTATAACTTTTTATTTTTCCTCCATTAAATATGTTTTATAAAAGCATTGCCAAACAATTGCGAAACATTTTTCTAGTTGACTAATACTCTTGGGTGTTTAGAGCAGCAAACCAAAATATTAGCGCTCATTTAATAACAAAATACGTGTATATATGTATATATAAATATAAGAAGGTCTATACATATCGGTTTGTATGTATAATAAGCAAGCGTATTTTGCAGCTAAAAACAAATTGGCACCAAAAATAGGCGAAAATATTTGTGCCGCTTGGCCAAAAACGATTTTTATCAACGCCACAGCCGAAACCAACTGGCTTAAATGGTCATAATGGGGAAAAAAGTATTCATACTTATATGGCTCGCTAAGTTATTTTAAGCTTTTTCATAGCTCCAAAGCAATTTAGAATTTATTTCAAAAAATTTAAAATTATTTCAAATGAGCAACTTTTTTAATTCAATTAGCTTATGAACGGTTCGCTCTAACCCAAATCTCTATTCAAAACTGCACGCCTATGTGCATTATAAGTTTTCAAACAAAAACGCCTACAGAGTTTACACCAAATCAGCGCTGCAATTGCTAATAACCCGCATTGCACAATCGTTGCATCAGAACTATTTCTGCGCGGCTACTCTGAGAGCGTTATTGATGAAATAAATGAATTCCAAACATTGTACGGTTCTACGCTTGATCGCATCCATTCGCACTGCACCCCAGAGTACGGCATTCGGTTCCACAGTTTAAATTACCATTCAAAGTTACGCATCAATGAATTGTACTTATTTGGACCTACAAAGCGTATACGAAGTGGAAAAAACGCCGACCGAGAGCTGGCAAATGTGTTTACGGGCATCATGTGGCGCGTTGCAAATATGTAGTAATGAGTAAAGTAAACACTCAGAAGTCTTCACACTGTTTATTGTTTATCAATTGAGGCGGACAGTGGCTCATCATTACTCTAATGAAGAGTCCATCAACGCTATGAGCAACGCGGCAGCAAGACAAGGCGGAAAGCCAAGTCAGCTGATTGACAGACACAAATAAAAAACAAATGGCAAGTGAATGCCTGTCACTTGATTTGCGGAATTATAACTGTTTTTTTTTCTCTTTTCACGTATTTTCTTACTTTACTTATCAATTGATTCTTTGTATCATCATCTTCCTTGGCGTTGAGAAGGGATGAGTTAGATATTAATGCAAATTGTAATCGATTTGTATAGCCACTTGTTGAAATTCTTGCGATCTTATGGCATACATATGCTGTGAAACTAGAAACAAATTGGTTTGTTCAATTATAAACTTACTACGTAAATATGTACATTTAGTGCATTATAACTATCAAACACTAATTTTATTCCATTGACTTAACACATCGTTTCGGATATTGAAGTTCTCATCATAAAAAGCCCAACTTACAAAATAATGCCTGACACACACATATGATGTTGATAGTGTCTACTGATACGTTGTTTTATTCTTTCTTATCTATTTGGTTCCACTCATCAGAAATTTATTAATATGCGTTTACCCTATAAATAAAATTTACGAATTTGAGGTGAATCGGTTAAAATATATTTTTCAACTAATTTCAAAATTCTTGTAAGTTTACATGAGGACTTTTCTCAAAACAAATCTTTCACTTTGTGTTCGAGGAATAATCAAGATTATTTTTATTTATTAATACTAATACAATTACTACTAATTTTACTAAAATTGGAAAAAATAAAATCTTTAGAATCGCATATATTTCATAGCCTTGAATGAGATACATACTTGAAAATCTTTCTATCGGGTAATCGCCTCTAAAGTTTGGGTGAAAGATGGTCAATTTTTTGTTCGTCAAGTATAGTTTCAATATGGCTACCAGATTAAAAAAAAAGCGCGAGGTGCAGTCGGAACGAATTTCTTGTATTTATGGTATTGTTGCATTTTTGCAATTACATCGGCGGCTCATCAACAATCATTAAATCCATCGATATGATAATTTTTGTATTAGTGTACAGATAGCACAGTAGCGTGCATTAAAAGTGCATAAGGCACAGAGTATATGACACGATTAAATGTCAATCAATACCAATACAGCTCATGTCATAAAGAGAAATTTTCAAGATATTCAAGTGACATGTTTTATGTAATTTTCCATAATATCGTCACTGGCTACAAACTGCCAATTTTTATATATTCAAATGTATAAATCAAATGTCATATGTTTGGATAATCTGCAGTACATACTGATTTGGTGCAGATGGAATAAAGGTTGGTGGCAATGTTTTCGTGGCCTGAAGAAGCAATTTATGTGTTCAAATCGCAAATTTTGCTTTGCCAAATCTGAGTATATATGCTCAGCCCTGAAAAATTAATTTCTTTACATGGATTCAAAATTTATTTATATATTTCTGTAATTGCATTTTGTCAACGCACAACTATGCTTGCAGTATTTACATCAGAGGCGCTACTTTACTGTTACATTTGCATAAAACCACTGAATAATAAATAGCGTATGTATGTATGTGTGAATGGATTGTGTTATGGATAATAGAAATTAATTGTCAAGTTGACAGCTTGATTGCCAATCAAAATGTGGTGCTACAAGTGCATGCCGCAAACAAATGGAGACACACACAGTGCATGTTCATATATAATATATGTACATACGAATATGTTTATTATTTCTATATTTGTACAATGAAAAATTGCCATTTGATTGCCAGTGAACGCGTACGAAATGTATGCTTTTATTAAGTCATAAGTTAGACGAGTATGCATATATGGATATATATGTATATGTATGTACGTATATATGTCTATATGTATGCATGTAAATACGATAACACAATTTTCATTCCCACTTGTAAGGATGTGAAGATGGCCTGTTGACGCCTCACAATTGATACGAGCTAGACTGTGATAAAGTGCAGATTAGTTAACATTTGACACTTAAAATTTTAAATATGCGCCACATATCCACTTACACATATCCAATTATACATATATGAATGTGGCTACAAAGGAAGGCCTGAATGTGGGCGAACGCTCATAAAAACTTACACATGTACGCATTTACATATATTTGCTCGTTAAAACCACTCATAATTTACACTTTTATAATTTACAATTAGTTGATTCGTACCCGCTTCATATACATACTCAGCTGAGCTTGCTAACCGACACTAGCGCTAAATGAAGTCCTAAGCGCGAGTCATAAACAAATATAAAATAATTCAGCTCAAAGCGACACTTTATAGCTTTTTTCGTCATATTCGTAATTTATATACAAATAGTAGACACATTTGACTACAAAATACGTTATACGAGTATAAATATGTAAATATATGTACATGCATGGATGGGTGCGTGTGTGTGCCATGGTGTAAGTGACATACAGACAAGTGCCGCCCGCACTATTTATTGCCTAGCGTACGTTGGTGGTTTGAGTGCGCTTTTATTGTAACACAATTATTATTCGTTTTTGTTGTCGTATTTTTTTTAAGTTTGCATTCAATTGATATTACTACCGCTGTGGAATATTATGGTAATTTGCATAGAAAAGCTTCAGGCGCTAAACTTATGATTTATGGTATGTGGCATGTACATAAGTGTGTGAGTGAAAATTTACGCAGGCATTGAAGTCATTTACGAGAACAACTAACAAGATTTGAAAATAACCACATTTGAATATCATATTACTATACGCGAACTATATGAGGAAATGCAAAACTATTAATTGTTTTATTATTATGAGGTTTCGCTTTGTACAATGTGTTGCTTAACAAGTTGAAAATTGCATAAATCAAAGTATAATAATTCATTGAATTTTTAAGTCAAGGCGTTGAGATAGTGAAGACAGCTGGAATTGCATAATTTATGACGATACAAAATTTACAAGAATGTTTTACAAGTTGTTTAGCTCTGTGAAGATCAAGAGAGAGGTCAGAGACATGTAATACATATTTTAGAGTTTTTTAGCTATTGGAATGTTAATTTATCTAACTAGTTTTGTCTTCTGTTTGAAACTGGGTGCTTGAGTCGCAATCAGATTATATGAAAAAATGCCTTGGTAAATACTTATATGGTAGACAGATGTGATAAAGAAGAATGAGTTAAGCGTAACATATGAAACACTTCAATACCTTATAAACGAGCAGTTCTTAGCAGAATGGTTAAGTTGGAAGAGCAGTTTACTATAAGGAGCTGACGGTCATACTTCGTGAGACATACATCAACTCTATAAACTTGCTATTCAAAACAACAGAAAGAAGACCTATAGGTGTTGATGTGATATCAAAATAGCCAGGTTCAGTGAGTAAAATTTAAAAACTTACTTTATTTGAGATAATTTCCATTAAGTCTCAAAAATGTACCTGTAGAATAAAAAAGAAAATTGTAATTTATAAAATTTAATATTTACAGCATATGTATACTTAGAGAACAAAATACAATCCATTAGTATGATAAACAAATAATTCAAATACAAACAAGAAAACTACAGTCAGTCCTATCGTCAGCTTTCCTTCTGCCCCACCTTGATAGCACCTCAAAATGACGCACATTTTAGCAAATTGATCAACATACACAAACAGAAATACACATACATACATATGTATCTTCACACACGTAAAACGGAAAATTCTTACCTATGAACCGTAGGCTCATAAAATAGTGCACACACACACTTGTGTGTTTGCATTGTGCTCACTGTTGTTGCCAACGCTCCAGAAAATCAAGGTACACAATGAAATAGAAGTAACAAAAGCAGTAAAGGTATGCAATCACACAGATTTGACGCACAAAGGACTTGGCATGACTGAAGTGCAGATTACAAATTGTTAACCAATAACTGTAACTCTATATATGACAATATATGTACGTGATTGCTTGGAGTGCACATGTGGCAGATACAAAATGAAAACTGAAACAGGCGCTGTAATAATTTTTTTCCATGCATTTAAATACATATGTAATTATAAATATTTAAAAAAAAAATTCATATCTATGGAAAAATATGAATGTTCTGTATGTGTCACTGTAATGTGTAAAATTAAAAATTTTGGAATCAATAAGAAGTATTGTACTTGGTTAAACTAAATATTTACTTGAACAGTTGCAATCCTTTCTTACTTTGTTCTTCTAAAAACTGTTTTTTCTTTTTTTTTTAAATAGATATTTAACTAATGGATGGTCGGCAGTACTAAATAAGCGTATAGTGAGAGAATTATGCTCCTAGGTATTTACAATATTGCTTAACTCAAACAAAAACTTCTAGTTAAAAAAGCCGTCACTCACTCGATAGATTTACTGACGATGACAGTTTGATTCCACTTTGAGGCTGTTCGTTAAGCAATTTTACTTCAAAAATGCTACTCTAATGCTACTTGGTCAGTGTCGTGATATTTGATTTTACGACTGAAAATGGAAAACATGCATTTGCAGAATACTTGGTTTGATTTTCGAAAAAAAATCGCTAAAGTCTAGGAAACCTGAATTGACAAAGTATTCTGTAGCCATTCTGACAGCACCAAAATGAAATCGTGTTGGTACAATAATAACAATGTTTGCTCTGACAAATGAAAAACTGTATTCTTTTGAATTTTTAGCAAGTTAGTCTAAGGTGGACTATCACGTATGCTATAAAAACGATTCTTTCGCCCATGGCGTTTTATGGTAGTAAAATAGAGAGGAAATGTGAAATGAGGAATGTTCATTTGTATTGTGACATTCGTCATTCAGCAACCTGAATAAATACTGTGACAGTTTTAGTGTAGCTTACAATAAAAAAGTTGATAAACTGCATGAAAAAGAACCAAACCAAATATGGTACATGTGCATATATTTACCGAATATTTTGTCCAAGTGATGCTTTCAATTCGACACCACAAGCAGATACATAAGTGAGTATTTATTTTCACTCATTCCTCTACATATTTATAGACTACATACTATGTACGTGGACCATTGATTCATGTAAGTAGGCACACACACATGTTTGTGGTTTTGGCACTGCGCAACAATGGAACATCAAACACCCGTATTATGCACATTCCAAGTCGCACAAAGGACGGAGATGCTGAATGAAAGAATAGGCCTCTCAGCCACTTGTTGGGCATGTAAGTGAAACGTATGATGCTTTCACTGATAATGACGCCTATTTGTATATGTCAGACTAATCGATACATACATATGTCGGTATGTATATAAAAGGTTTCACAAGTTCCGGATTGCAAATTAACTAGTTCAAAAAAAACTAGACTTGACGTTGTACGTTGTCTTTCATACTAGTTATTAGGTAGTTTACAACTAATACATTTTCCGGTAGGATATATACATACATACATATATTACATATATTAAAGTGTATTTTGATTTCATTGTTTAATTAATGATCAGGTTCAATTATGCCTTGCGCCAACTCCAATTGAATTTCCAGAATAATCATCGAAACTACTTTAAATCAAGCTAAAAATAGCATGCACTGTTATTTAATTGCATATGGATCCTTGTATTTAAAAACAACCTTTTATACTAGTTACTGTAATACGGAAGCAAAATATTTTTCTTTTTGTTATTTTGCATTTCATTTTCAATTTTCCTACAAGGCACAACACTTGAATATGTGTATTGATATATTTAGAGTCTGTCTTCGACATATCCTAGTCTACTATATGTATATCTTTGTACATCGAGCGAGCATTTTATGTGAAGCTTTACATTTATTTAAAAGTAAAGATTATACCAGAGCAAATAGAGATGCAAAAAATATACATTGGCACAATTCCAATTGTTCATCGATATGTATGTGTTAAACTGGAAATAATATGAAAATTCAACAGAAAAACTAAGAATGTAGTTTAAAAAAATATCCTAGATTAATACTAGGTTAAAATATATATATGTACTATTTTAACTTTTGCTGTAGAAAATAATTTCAATAAAGCAGGTTTTCAGTTTTCGAAAATTCATTATATGTAGTAATCAAATAATAATTTTTATTAAAATATAATGATCTTTGATATAGGTATAGCGAAGCCACTAATTGCTAAGGAGGTGTTCTAGTCTAGAGACATGAATTTTAGGTAATTTTTAAAGTGTCGTAAAAAAAAACTATCTATATTTTTACTAACGTTTTTTTTCAGTTATTTATTAATGTTACAAAGTACAGAAAAACGATTAAAAAAAAGTTAAAAATTTAAAAAACTGGCAGCTGATGAAGTGGGAGGTCTCAAAAAATTGACACATGAGCATCTTCTAGTCATGTGAAATGAAAAAAAGATTATCAATCTTAAATGATGTCGCAATTGTATAAACTAGCGATAATTAAAAAAAATTTGTTGACAAAATGGCGACTGAAAAAAAACGATTGTTCTTAAATTTTTTCGTATTTTTTTAAAAAAAATTGCGGATGTGTTCATACTCGAGAGAGGTCATTTAAGAAGATGCTCTGAAAATTTCAAGTAAATCGGTGCAATAAAAAGTCTGGTCTGAGAAAAATGCATTTAAAGTTTCGCGTAAAGTCTTTTTTGGATTAGACCCAGCCGAACCAGTTTGGAGGCCGGGTCAGTAAAATGTTTATATCTGCGAAAATAATTTAAATTTTCAAAAATCATCACGTGGACGTATTCTTAAATAGTGAAACTTTGAAAATATGAACAAAAAAATAGTTTTTTCGAAATTCTACACTAGATGACCTCCTTAATAAAATAATATATACTAATAAAGTACATTTCAAATTGTTTAAATAATAAACGCAATAAATGGGTATATAAATCAATCTAAATGTCAACAAAAATTAATATATGCAACTACAAGTACTTATATTGCAACATGGTAATTTAGCCTGAAGCAAGTATAATTGCAGTGCTAATCTTTCTGAGCAGAAATTTCTTGAGATTTATTTCGGCTGTTTAAATACTAAATAGAAAGTGAAATATTTTCTTACTTTCATCTAGCTTCCCACCAATTTGTCTCTACACGCCTGCAGACTTAAATGTAAATGTTAGCATTTAAATTCCCTGATGCATTGTGTAAATGCGCGATAAGCTCTATTTTTATACCTCTACAAAATACACAATACTCACAGGATTATAAGAACTGGCACAGTGATTGAGAGCATCTGCATGCAGCAAAAGGATTAATGTGAGCAAAAATTGGCAATGATGCGTCGGTGGCATGATGGTAATATGACTAACGCACAGTGCTTTATTATGCCCTTTGGCACACTTGTGGGCCATACGTTTGGGCAAGCAGCAGGCGGCAAAGCCGAAAACCCAAACAACCAAAAATAAAATATACGAAATACAATGTGTGAAAATGGCATTCTATGCTATCTACCCACACCGCAAATGTAGCGTTGCTTTTCAATCCCTCCTTTTCCAATTCTTAAACCCTTCACCGTAAAGCTAATGCACCTTAAGCGCGCGCAAATTGGCCTTGAACCGCAAAGACATCGCTTTCCGCAATTGTTTTCTTCCGCTTAACTTTCCAAAAAAATGTAATATTGACGCAAAAGATGCGCATGAAAGGGGTTGGTGCTGTACTTACTAGATATTCACTAAATTCCAGTTAGGCCGCCGGTATGGGGTTATTAAAGGATTGTTAGGTAGCTTTTGTAGGCACATATATACAAGTATGTATGTAGTTGTAAGGGTGCAGAGAGAGTTATGAGGCGAACAGCTTTGAAAAATTTATGTGGTCTCTTTATCGTTTCTTTTATAGACTTACTTAAAGCACATTTTCTGTATTTCATTAATATTTTACGTATGTCATAAGAACTACAGGCAGCAAATTTAAGGAAAAAAACAAACGCCACTTTTTTTACTTTGGAATTCCTTATTTAATCTAATATCCTTTATAATCTTATAATCGGGCAAATTTAGTCAGTTTACTTGCATATTTCTTTTATATAATATTTGTACACTGCACTTACATTATGAATCTATAATATCGAAATTTTATTTTTATGAAAATAAAAAGGATGACTTGCATAATTATACGTTGAACAAGGCATATTAAGTTTGCCACGCTATCCATATCTATGCAAACTAGTCCATCAGTTTTTCAGATAACGATCGGAAATTTTGCACCCGTCCTTTTCTCAACAAGCAGCTTCTCATTTGTCGGAATGGCCGAAATCGGAACACTATAGCATATAGCTGTCATTAAAACTGAACGAACGGAATAAAGTGCTTGTATGGAAAACTTTTTAATTTGACGAGATATCTTCAAGAAATTTTGCATTGATTATTCTAAGGTAATGGTGTAATATCTAAAGAAATTCTTCAGATCGGGTCACTTTAGCATAAAGCTGCCGTACAAACTGTACGAACAAAGCTCTTGTAAGGAATATTTTTTTATATTTTCTTCTTTT